TTTTTGTTTCCGGATATTTATTTTGTATTTAATATTTAGTTACATTGCCTCGATACTTGATAACTTTTGCAGTTCTTTGGAATATGGTTTAGATTAGTTAGTTCTTTTGGTAACGATAGAAAAGATTTTTTCCATTTCTTTTCCAAATTTAATTAATTAATTAATTATAAAACGTTATGATATAAAAAAATACTTGTAATACTTACCATTGCACCCTAGAAAAATAAAATAAATATTAATGTTTTAATCGTCCATTATAGAATATTTATAACATACAGGTAGAAAGTTACTGTTGTGACCGCGTATTTTGGACTCATATGAACCGAGACACTACGCGCACTGCTATAATAGCAAGTTAGACAGCATAGAAATTTTGCTACGTCATAAAAATTTTGCAATTAAATCGATTTTCATAATTCAATAGAAAATATAGGTATGCGTCGTTTAATTTTCAATTACTGAGTATTATCAAAATATTTTCAATTTCGGTTAGTTTTCAATTAAAATTCATTTTGAGTAAAAAAAACTTTTGAACACGTATGAACAGAACTATTGCAAGATCTATTACGTTTTCATATAGTGTGGCGATGAATAATTTTTTATAGCTACACGTGCAGTCACAAAATGGGAATTTCTGCACCTCTTGTATCAGACTTTCTGATGGTATGGACATCAGAAAGCCTGATACAAGACGATATAAATGTAAGACAATTATCAGTTTTAGGGCACTGATTGAGTATGTAATGTAAACAATTTTCGACAGTATCATACGAAAAGCAACGAAAATCGCAAATTTTGCATTACTTTTAGCCATAATTGAAATTTAAAAAATATTGTAAAATTGTACCAAAAACAAAATCAGTAACCGATTTAGAAAGGTGTGTTTGAAGAAAGATTTTACTCTATTTTAAACATTTTAACAAAAATCTATGACGTAAAAAAGGAAAATAAGATACAGTAATACTTACTAATTCACGCTAGTAAAAAATTAAAAATAAATATTATTATTTATCGTGAATTATAAGATATTTATGACATGTAAATAGAAAGTTATATCAGTATAATGAATTATCTTTGTTTTTCTATTGCTTTTATGAATAAACAACAAAATATTGTATAAGAAAAGCTACTACTTTGATTTTGCATTACAATACCATCCCAAATATTCAAGCTTGCGACCATAAGTAGTCTATATTTCTAGATGATCCAGTTTTCTGGACTCACTTTAACAAAAACAATTGTAATTTTTAAATTTTTTTAAAAATTTACCAATTTTCTACAGGTAATGTAATAACACAAATCGTATAAATTGTCAGTAATTAATATTACAAAGGAATTTTTGCATTTAATAAACTTAACAAAACCCACCCTGATATCTCCACTTTTTCGTGGTGGTGAATTTGTGAACCACCACCTCGATAACAAGCTCACTGACTCGTGATGTCATCAATAGAAGATTGACTGCTTTTGTGCAAATTTTTTAGTTTTTAATATTATTATTTTTTATTCATTCCATTTATAACATATTTTTTAATTAAAATGCTTAGCTTAATTTATAGTTTACACGGTAAATTTTTTTTAATATTTTATTCACGATACAAAAAGTATAATATTTCATTTAATATACAGTAGAGCGTCGATTTTCCGAATCAATTGGGAACTGGGGTTGTCCGGATAACTGATATTTCGGATAACTGATTTACGTACGAAAAAATAGTTTAACGTATCGGATATCGAAAATTTTCTCCGTTGCGTGTCGCTTCGCGTTGAATTTTCGTCGATGTTAAGCCTAACAAAGACTATTGTATCGTTAAAAATTATTTTTTTATTTTGTACAAACAAAATAAATATATTGAAAAATATAAAAAC